CACACACACACACACACACACACACACACAGCTCTACTGCTCATCCCACAAATGCATTGTCCTTGAACATGTGGCTTCATTTAAAAAGGAAATAACAGGTTTTCCAACAGTACAAGATTTATTGTTACAACAAAGAAATAGTCTACCAAACATCCATTTACTTTTTGTGCTATAGGTAAGCCTAAACTAAAAAAAAAATAGTTTTTTGTTGCTGTGTTTACTACAAATGCTAAAATGAAGTTTATTTATTTTTTTTACAATAAAGATATCTTAAAAGAGTCATGATCTGATTACTGTGGGGGTTTTTCCATGCTGTTTGGTGACTGCTCAATAGTTTTTCGTTTTGATGGACTCAAGGTCTGATCTGACAACATTGTCTGGTTTTGAGCTGGTTTCAACTGTTATGAGGCATCAGGAAGAGTCAGAGGTTTCTGTGAAAGTAGTTTGAAAATGGGTTTTGTTTTCACAGTTAAGAGATCTATTAAATATTAGTATCATAGGAGCCATTTGTAGCTCTGGGTGTTCTGGGTATAGTTTGGGTTCTTCTTTTGCTTTTATAGTTCACTTTGGTTTGGTGGCAGTGTTTGTTTATTTGGATTGACACTTTGACCTATATTTTTGCTCTRCCACTGGTGGCAGTGTGGAGGGGAAATCTATATAGGTGGCAAGGTGAGAAGGAAAGGTGGAGGGTGTAGGGAGGTCACACGGTTTTTACCGCTCTCTGTTAATATACTGGTTAACCTCTCATATTCACATTTTACCATAATTTTCCATCTATTTGACAAGCTGCCATAGACCGCCACTCTGGACTTTGTAACATTTAATAATCAAAAATAATATAATAAATGGGAGTTTCCCCAAACATATCTCCCAGTCTGGACATTATACTAATTGGAGCGCGTCAAATGCCTGGATTCCCCCGCACCCAGAAGCGACTAAAAGGTTGGATTTGATAGTCGCTACAAGTATTATAGGATTTCCTTGTCTACTACAAACATCTGCTGATTGTTGCCCTGGTTTGGATTTTTCCATTCATTTACAAATACTTTCCTTTCAAATTCAGGATACAGGTCCATGAAAAAGTACCTCTTTTTTATGGATTTTAGTGGAAATACACCCCTTGAATGATGATGTAGACATGAAATTACTACCTTTCCTACATTTTTTAAACAAGATTGTCTGAGTCACCCCCTCTCAGGGTTTTTATCTAGACTTTTGCTACTGTTAGCTTTTGGTCTCAGTCTCTCCGTACACCTTTGATTTTTAGCTACATTTGGCCAATATTTTGCTTTTAACTAGTCTTTAGGCCTCTAGCCAGCTGTGTAATATATTAACCTATAGCCTTTTAATATTTTAATTTATTAACACACTGCAAAAATCTATCAGTTAATCATAAACAACCCTATAAAACATAGCCTTAATTATAAAGCAATGACAAGGCAGTGTTAAATTTCTACTTTTCTAATTTTATGTAGCAGCAAATAAAGATGAACAAGTAGATATTTAATTTTTTCTAATTCAATTTATCCAACTGAACTTTAATTTACAATGTTTTTTCAGACTCTTGGTTAAATAATACAGTAAAGCAGAGGCTCTCAAACTGGGGACCCAGGACCCCCAGGGGTCCAAGAGCTATGTCTCGGGGGGTGGTGGTGGTGGTGGGGGGGGGTGTCCTCGAAAAATTTCAATAAATTGTTAATTTGGTTTTTATTTTAAAAAATGCATACGTGGAACAATGCACTAATAAAACAAACATACTAAACCAAACAAAAAATAATATTACCATGGCATTTAGGGGTTAAAATCAACAGTAAACTATTTTGCATTAACAGCATGGGGTTGATGAGGGGGTCCCTGGAAATTTTTCACCTTTGTAAGGGGTCCCCAGATCCAAAAAGTTTGAGAACCCCTGCAGTAAAGTCACTGCTGAGATGTAACATTTCTTCACCACAAGGAGGTGCTGCAACACAATAACTGTCATATTTGTTCTACTGTTCACACAATCTGCATTTTGATTGATTTCAGTTAGAACATCAGTGCATTTTGTTTGCATGAAACCTTTCATCTTTACATTGTAATAATAGTATTAAAACTGGCTTTTATCTCATCAGAAATATTGCCAAATTAAGATCAATTATCTCATTTGCGGATGCTACTTCTCTCATTAATGCTTTTATTTTCTGTCCTCTTGATTACTGCAATTCTCTGTTTGCTGGTCCGCCTAAAAAAAAACCTTAAACGCCTCCAGTTGGTACAAAATACAGCAGCTAGAGTCCTCACTAAATCCCAGAAGTATGATCATATCACTCCTGTTCTCGCTTCTCTACACTGGCTACCTGTGGTTTTTATGATTTTAAGATTGCATTGATAGTTTTTAAATCATTGAATGGATTTTCACCGTCTTATATTTCAGAATTACTTACACCACATACACCACTGTGACCGCTGAGATCATCTGATCAGTCGCTACTTATAGTACCCAGAGTAAGACTACAGGCAGAGGGTTATAGAGCCTTTTCTGTTAGGGCTCCTCTTTTATAGAATGCACTGCCGCTTTATATCAGACAAGCTTCTTTATTGTTCTCTTTTAAATCTCTTTTCAAAACATATTTTGAGATGCCTTTTAATTGTTGACTTTTGCATGTTTTATTTTTATTTGTGCTATGTTCTTATGTGTTTTGATTTTACTATATGATGTAAAGCACTTGTAACTGGGTTTTGAAAGGTGCTATACAAATAAATGTATTATTATTATTATTATTATTATTATTATTATTTTATTTCATAATAAACGAGCGAGTCCCTCGCAGTCAAACAGCTTCTGATATAAAATGCCAATTTGTCATTTTACGACCATCACTTAAACCCATTAAAATAAATGTACAGCTCCTTCTCTCTCTCTGGTGAAAAAAATGTTTTACTGCAGATTGAGACAGAAAACTACTGTACAAATACAGGCTGATAAATAAACTTTGTATGCTCCATTGAATCTTGAGTAAAGCAACAAATCTTACAAATATAACATGTCCTTCAAATCAAAGAATTGTTTTCTTGTACTGTTATTTTAAATTATATATTCTTACACAGCAAGTAAAGTTGTTTTTAATTGTTTKAAAAAACATAAATTTCGAGGCAGTAAAATTTCTTCAATGAAATGATTAAAGACCTGATTAGTTTCTGGAATTTCTCACCCTTGTTTAGTTAATAAAAACATTTATAAAAGCCAATGACACATGTAAACACCCTGCTGGTGTATTTTGAGCTGATGTTTCAATCAGTCTGTGTCTTCTACACCGGACTAACTTGGTGCAAACTGCAGCTCTGTGTCTCAGGACACGGTCCTCTGTGGACCGTCTCTCTGTGTCTCAGTTCGGCTGCAGAGCTCCGCCTGTTTACAGACACAACAAACAATCTCTTCTTCTTCTGTGATGCTAACTGTTCCACCACGACAGCAGACCCAACCCTGGGTCACAGATGGTCCCCTGAAGCAAACAAACAAATAAAACAATAAACTACAACCTTCATCAGTGCCGTCAGTCTGCAGCATCCTCAAAGACCATTTCTGTGAGTTAAAAGTTAAAAATGGACTCTTACGATCAGAGTGTACGGTGCCTCCTTCTTCTCCCCGCTCTCCTCCACCTGCGGCGCCGTCGCCTGTCCTGGTTGTGCCGGTGCGTTGGAGGCGGGGGCGGTTGGGCCCGTCGGCGACGTGTCCACGAAAACTTCGTCTGCCACCCGAAACCGGATCTCCTCTCCCTGGTCCATGTAGAGGTCGTGTGCGCCCTCGTCCGTCTCGTACTCCCAGACCCAAACCTGCTCGGCTTCATCGCTGACCCTGCAGCTAAGGACCACTCCACTTCAGCCACGGTCTACTCYAGACTCACACATTCAGCACGTCACAAAGCAACATTAACCCGCTGCTCTTCATTTGTGAAGTCAGGATACAACTTAGCCGGCTGCTGAAGAGACTCGGGAGGGATGAGGATGTCGTCAAAGAAACCCATCGTCACTGAGAAGCAGAGGTTAGGGATTATAAAGTGACTCAAAAGTTTAAATATCTGCATGAATCAGGTACACAACGATTTAAAAATTTTAACGTTTAACAGTCATGCACCAAACTCTGGTTGAATTGTTTGTGTATGAATTGATCTCTGTATTAAGTAATTGTGAAATTTTATGTATACGATTTTATGAATACATTTATTTATTTTTTAATGTACTTTTATATCCTCCTTATTGTTTTTTTATGTAAATATGGATGTAAAGTCTGCCTGCCAATAAAGTTTGATTGATTGATTGATTGAAACCATCGGCCTGAAACCGGTACCGGTTCGTTGATTGGCCAAAAAAAAAATTCTAAAATCCAAAATTTTCCCGGGTTTTTAGAACAGTGAGTAGTTTTTTTCTTACTGAGGAGTTGGCAACAGTGAATGTCTTTAGTGTAGAAGTTTTTTTTTTGAGGATGTATTTGTTTTAAGAATCGGTGCATCTCTAATGTTTAACAAACTGAACTAAAAACAATGTATGCAAGGAATTAAATTATTTATTATATCTTGACCAATTTCCTACATATCCACTCGGAAGTGATTCTGCTTCACATTTAAATAAAAAAATGCTGGAGGGTCAGAAAAAAAAAGAGAGAGATTACCTGTNGCTACTCATTCCAGGTAGAATCTGCCAGTACGAGAGAGAGAGAGAGAGAGAGAGAGAGAGAGAGAGAGAGAGAAAGCAAAGATAAATATTATGTGTCTTTCATATCAGATTTTTAATTGATTCAATTTTCTGCTGCAGCAGGAAGCAATCCAAGTGTCACCCGTAAGTGTAACACAGTTTTTCTTTCTCCTCCAGAACACATTTCTTGTAGATAAAAGAATCATTCTAAGTCACAAATACTCACAAATTAAAGTCACACGGGTTGTGAGGTGAGACCTTATCAAATAACAAACAAAAATGTTTTAATCAGAGATGAACGCGTTAGATTTTAAGGCTTCACAGCCTCACAAATACAGTATCTCTTTATTTAATTGTCACTCCTATTTTATAAACAGACACAGTAAAATGGTCTCACAWCTAATTTCGGAAAGAAATAGTTGAAGGTTAGTTAGATACAGTTCATGTAATTTGAAGTGGGGTTTGGTGGAAAGGTTCTGAACAAGCAATATCTTACCTGTTGTAGATCGCTCCCTGAATGACATCATCTTTTTTCTTTTCTTCTTCTTTTTTTTGTCACTTCAGTAGAAAATGAAACCAAATATTATTAGTTTATTTAGTTGATTTGTTTCTTCATCATCAGTGACTTTTTTTTACATCATCTGATAACATTGATGAGTTACTGGCTAGTCTGAGCGCGGCCCAAACCAAAATGGATTGCTGCCATCCTAAAACATATTTTATTTCACAAGTTTTATTGCAGCTAAGGCTACTTATTAAACTTTTACATGGCAGTGGTTTTGTGTTTTACAGTAATTTCAGTGGAAATATAATATTTATAATGTACATGCTACAGCTAACTGCTGCTGGCACTATTTGCAGTTCTAAAACTATTTCTAAAATAATGTTTCTATAAATCACCCTAAAATCTTTAATGCTAGAGCTGTTTTATGAAAGCTGCAATCCACTTTGACCATGGCTCTGCTCAGACYAGCCATTAGCTCATYGCTCTGGTCAGAATTAAGCTGTATTTACTGAAGTTATTTTCCTCATAATTAACCAAAAGACTGACAGATGGAAAAGATCATTTTTAATAATTACGTCCTGATGCATCTCAGTAATCCAGGTAAAAAATCAAAANCCCACACCCCCTCCCCTATCCACTTTGATGCATTTTTCAAATTTCGCCTTGGGGCGGAGTTATCTTTTCCCAATGGGGGTAAGATACACTTTAAGGGAATTGCTTTACTGTAATGTCAGATGACATTTGGCCCCTGTTTTAAATGATGATAAACCATACTTTCCGATATTCAAAATAGTGATAACTGGTAGATAGTTAGTTATTAGCGGTTCTGCATTTTAATTTTAGAAAGCGCAAATCTGCTTATGAATTATAAAAATTAGTAAAACCGCTAAAGCACAATTGACATATTTAGGTCCACAATTAGCGGATTTGCGCTTTAGCGGACTGGTGCCCACCACTGACAAATACAATGAAGTGAAAGGAAGCAGAGAGAAGAAAAACCTTGTCTGCCCCTTTTTTTTCTCAAGTTAACTCAAACAATACTAATCTTCAATTAACAACAAACAAAACAAAAAACATGAAATCCTTCTAGAATTTGCATGAATACACATTATACTGTTTCATATTTCTTCAAAAGCCCAACTTTTATCATTTTCTTAAACATGTATATTGATATAGCATTTTTAACATTCTCTTCCAGATTATTCCACAATCTTACTCCTTGGATTGAGGTGCACCGTTCTTTCAGACTGGTTCCAAATTTATGTTTCATGAAAATTTCTATTCCCTTTAGGTTATAACAGCTCTCTCTCTTAATAAAGTTTATCTGGATGTTTAAAGGTAATGTCTTTTGGTGAGCTTTATACATAACTAACAAAATGTTATAATCAGCCAAATCATAAAATTTAAATAATTTCAATTTACAAAATAATATACCAGATGAATAATGTTAATGTTTTTGAGGGATAATTCTTATGGCTCTTTTCTGCAAAACAAAAACAGGATTTGTAATAGTCTTACATGCTTTCCCCCATACCCCAACACAATAAACTAAGTGTGGAACAATTAATGTGTTGTATAACAAAAACAGAGCTTTATCATTAAAGAAGTCCCTTACTTTGTAAAACAATGCAATAGATGCAGCTATTTTAAATTTTTAAATAATTCATATGAGGTTTCCATGTCAGTTTCTCATCAATAATAACACCCAAAAACTTTACCTCACTGACTGTATTAATCTCTACACCATCAACTCTAAATGGAATGTTAACAGTTCTTTGTCTCTTTGTAAATATCATATACATACTTTTTTCCAGATTTAATGATAATTTGTTAAGTTTAAACCAATTTTTTATTTTCACAAATTCTATCTGCATTATCTTTAACATTCGTTCTGTTTTTACCCAAACAATAACCTTCTTCGATAACCCAACCTTTATCATTCTCTTGAACATATACATTGATACATTTTTAACATAATTTTTCAGACTATTCCACATTCTTACTCCTTGGATTGAAGTACTCAGTTGAGGTATTGAGTACTTTAGCTTGGGTACTTGTCATTGCTGTGTACCGTCACCGAGTACTTACTGAGTTAGAACCTAAACATTACTCAATAAATTTAAAAACTCATTTATTTTGTTTAGAACAAGGTGGTCTTCTTCCTGATAGGCCTACAGCCCCTCTGACTGGATCAAATCAAATATATAAAGCATGATATGTACTACTGTTGAAACTTTTTTTTAAATAAATAAAAATAACAAATAAGATTTTCTTTCAACTTGTATAAATTTCTTAAACCTGGAACTGAGAAATTTTCACTTGAATTCTAAACTGGGACACAAACAATTGAGTACTGGTATCGGTTCAGAGTATCGGGGTATTTTGTACGAGTGCAAGTACTTGTACCAAGCCCGATACTAGAATCAGTTTCGAGACACCAGTAGTTTAAACTAGAGTAAATTGCTCTGTTTTTGCAAGCTGAACTCACATGCAAATCACTCTCTCCCCTCCTTCCTGAAAGGACCCCAATGACCCTCAGGAAAGAAGAAAAGGTGTTTTAAATGTTGACTGTGTCCAGCATTACTGAATCTAAAAAATAAATAACATTGTCCACTGGTCAGTTTGTTCTGCAGAAGCTTGTTAATTACTTAAATTAAATCAGGTGTGCTGGTCCACATAGAACAGTGTGCTTCTAGATCCAGGACAAGGAAACGATCAATCATTTTTACCACAAAATGTTTTTGTCTCCATCAGAAGTCCTGACCTTACTTCTAACCACGTTCTTTTCATTTTATTTCAGGCAAGAGTTAACGAGTTCAAAGAGAGGCAGGATCAGCCCATGGAATGAGCTTCATCGACAGACACGCAATCACCTGCAATAAATGTAGGAATTTGTTCAGGAAAAAACACATTTATGTGCGCTTCATGTAACACAAACTTCCAAGTCTTTAGAAAAGTCTGAATAATATCACATTTAAACATTTGTACAGTTGTTTTTTTTATTTAAAAGTTTATTATTCTTGTGTTGCTGGATTAATAAAGTATAAAAATTTAAAACTTGCTTACAAAAACTTTTCTTACATTCTTCACTCATCTTTTTGACTTGTATTTATTGTTACAATGACTTATATAACTGATTGAAAGACACTCAAACCCTGAAATGATCAGTCCATAAAATAGCAGATTTCTCTCATCTGTTTTATTTTTGAGCCGTGTTTGATGAATGAGAAGGAACTGGAAGCTGATACATCCTTATTAGCAGAGGAATGTGGCATGAGCGACTTCATACAGAGCCAGAGGGACAGAAGGGAAAATCTGAGGAGAAAGGGGTAAATAATGAGGCTGAAGTTGTGTGAGGTTAATCACATCACATGTTCAGGACTATAAATCTGTGGGAACAAAAAATAAACCGCAACTTGTTAGACAAAATAAACGCACCAAAGGAGAAATGGGGTCTGACAGGAAACCATTGACATGCAGTTTTGAAACCATTTCTTGACATTTTTGGGAAAATAAGGTGTTTGCTTTCTTGTCAAAGATAACGTGAAAAGATTAATATGATTACGTTTGTCAGCTCGTGAAGTCACAGCCAGCGGTTGGCTGCTGCAGCTCCACAAAAACGCATAAACTGGTGGGAAACATCATTTCGCTGCTCGTCTTTGTGTTAGTTTATCTTAGATGAAGCCTTTGGAAAAAGTAAAATAAGATGCTTTTGTCTTCTATCCAACCTTAATAAACAAATATAGGAATGACATTCTTTAAACATGCAACAAAGATGGAGTGAAACGTTATAGCCATGGTGTTGAGACATCAAGCACTGCTTTTAGACAAAGGAGATGATTATAGACTTCAGGAGAAACAGTGGAAGACCAAACCCTGTTTCTATCATGGAAGAAGTGGAGGTGGTTGAGGAATATAAATACCTCAGTGTTCATCTGGACAACAGACTGGACTTGGAGACTCAATAGTGAAGCAATCTACAACAGAGGACAGAGCAGACTGTACTTCTTGAGGAAGCTGAGATCCTTTAATGTCTGCAGCAAGATGCTGCAGATCTTCTACAAGTCTGTTGTTGAGAGCATCATCTCTTCTGCTGTCATCTGTTGGGGTAGCAGCATTAGAGCCAGGGACCTAACTGACAAAGAAGGCTGGTTCTGTTCTGGGGACGACTGTGGAACCTCTGGAGATGATGGTGCAAAGAAGGGTTTTACATAAAATCAAGAACATTGTGGACAACCCTGACCATCCTCTTCATCAGACTGTCAAAGAAAAACAGAGTGTCTTCAGTTGGAGTCTTCTTCAATTTCGCTGTAATACAGACCGCTACAGAAGATCTTTCCTGCCCTCAGCCATCAGCATCTACAATAACTCTTTAGTTAAATGAGTTAAAACAACACCTAATTTCCCTCTGGAATTAATAAAGTATTTTTGAATTGAATTTGGATTTGATTCCAAATAAGATGAATGGTGATCATGTGAATGATTATTTAAATTTAGAAAAATTAGGAGTTTGTCCATCATTTGAGTGGTTCATGCAGTGCTTTAAACCTCTAGGAGGCATTTCAACAAGCAGAGATGAAGTTATAGTGGGGAGATCAAGTATTTGATACACTGTTGATTTTTCAGGTTTTCCCACTTGCAAAGCTTGTAGATGACTGTAATTTTTATCATAGGTACTCTTCAACTGTGAGTGATGGAATCTAAAACAAAAATCCAGAAAAATACAATGTATGATTTTTAAATAATTAATTTCCATTTTATTGTGTGAAATAGGTATTTGATGCACCAGAAAAATGAAACAATATTTGGTACAGAAACTTTTGCAATTACAGAGATCAGACGTTTCCTGTAGTTCTTGACCAGGTTTGCACAC